CAGACCCCTCCAGTGGAGAAGGAACTGTGTAGCCCGGACTGTGATTCTGGAAGGAGTAGAACTGCTGACACTTCGTGTTGCATCATGTAGCAAAAAGATTGATCAGGGGACAGCCCCACCTCTGGAAGAGTGACAATGCGATGTCCTGGTGAAGAGACCACTCGTGGCTGTGAAAAGACCTGCTGAGGGTGACCGCCAGCTCGTTTTGGACCCCTGGAAGGTACGATGCCTGTAGATTGACTGAGTGCTCTATACAGAAGTCCCATAACCTGAGGGCTTCCTGGCACAGGGGAGAGGAACGTGCACCCCCATTTGTTGATGTAGAACATCGCGGTAGCATTGTCCGTCATGACCTGCTAGATATGGGAGGAATGACTGACACGGTAGGCGTACCACCCTGAGCTCCCTGACATTGATATGAAGATGGAGATCTGACTGTGACCAAAGGCCCTGAGTCCTGTGGTCCCCCAGATGAGCCCCCCATCCCAAATCTGACGCATCCGTTACTAGAGTCAGGGATGGTTGTGGGGCGGTGAAGGGGACTCCTGAGTACACCTGCTGAGCGTCCGTCCACACAGGAGCGAGTCGAGGATGGGTCGAGGCAGGGTCACGATCCTGTCCAAGCTGTCCCTGGCGGGTCTGTACACTGACAAAAGGCGCGGCCGAAGCCTGAGTCTGGCGTGTCGAACCACACATGTACAGGCAGCCATGTGGCCGAGCAGTTTGAGACAATTTCTCACGGTGGTGGTGGAGAACTGCCTGAGTCCCTGGATCATGGCGTCCAGGGTCTGGAATCTCGCCTGTGGGAGGAATGCTCTGGCTTGGGTTCAGTCCAGAATTGCCCTGATGACCTCTATCCTCTGGACCGGAGACAGAGTCAATTTCGCCTCGTCCAGATTCTCGAAGGTGGCTTTGATGAATGCCACCCGAGCCTCCACCTGAGTCCTGGATCGGCCTTTGATCAGCCAGTCGTCGAGGTATGGGAAAATCTGTACCTGATGTTTCTGCAGAAAGGTGGTGATGACTACTATGCACTTCGTGAAGACTTGAGTGCTGCTGACAGGCCGAAAGGGAGGACCGTAAATTGGTAATGGGAACCGTTGACCACAAACCCAAGGTACTTTCTGTGGTTTTACGCTATTGCTATGTGAAAATACGCATCCTTCAAGTCGACGGGTGGTGTACCAGTCTGCTGGATCCAATGAAGGGATAATGGAGGTCAAGGAAACTATACAGAACCTGAGTTTCCTCATAAACTTGTTGAGACCGCGCAGGTCCAGGATAGGCCTTAGACCACCCTTGGCCTTTGGTATTAGGAAATAGCAGGAATAGAAACCCTTGTCCCTGTGCTCCAGTGGAACCTCCTTCACAACCCCTAGCGCTAGGAGTGATTGCACCTCCTGCATGAGAAGTTGCTGTTGACTAAGGTCCCTGAAGAGGGACGGGGAATGGGGGAGGAAGGACGGGAAGGCACAGAATTGGAAGGACTATACCCACTCTATCGTGCAAAGCACCCAGTGGACGGAAGTTATATGGGACCATGCACAGTAGAAAGGGGATCGTCGTGAGGAAAAGGTAAGGCAGGGCGAATCCAGTCTCTGGTCTGGTGCGCTGTCCTCGATCGCACCTCCAAAATGCCGGTTTAGGGCCAGAGGGCAGTTTGGGCCGGCTTTGGTTAGCAGAGGGTTGTTGCTTTCTTCTACCACTCCAGTTACTCCTCCTAGAGTTGTCCTGGCGGTTCTGCTGTTGGAACTTTTGAGGAGGTTGTGGACAGAAGTGTCTGCACTGTGTGGCGGGGGTATGCAAGCCCAAGGATCTGAGGGTGGCTCGGGAATCTTTTAGGCTCTGAAGCCATTTGTATGTCTTCTCTGAAAACAGAGTATCACCTTCAAACAGGAGGTCCTGAATCCTTTGTTGGACTTTGTAGAGTAACCCTGAGACTTGCAACCAGGCCCCCCGTTGCATAGTCATCTCTGTCGCCCTGGCTCTTGTGGCAGCATCTGCAGCATCTAAGGCTGCCTGCAGTGAAGCACAGGAGACTAATTTCCCTTCTTCCACCAAGGCGCTGAACTCTGACTGAGAGTCCGAAGGGATGAGCTCAGTGAACTTAGCCATGGAAGCACAGGTGTTATAAGAGTACCTGCTCACAATGGCCTACTGGTTAGCAATATGGTGTTGTAGACCGCTAGTGGAGTAGATTTTCCTACCCAAAAGATCCAGCCGTTTAGCATCCCTATTCTTTGGGGAAGGACCTTGGAAACCTTGTCTCTCCCACTGGTTAGCCACATCGACAACCAATGAGTCTGGAGGCGGATGGGAGTAGAGATGCTCAAAGCCTCTGGAGGGGATGAAATACCGGCGCTCACTGCGTTTGGTAGTGGGTGGCAGAGATGCCAGCATCTGCCATAGAGTTTTGGTGGTGTCCACCACCATCTTTATGAAGGGTAACGCGACCCGTGAGGGCCCCGAGGATGCTAGGATGCCCACCATGGGATCTGTGTCCTCAACCACCTCCTCAGCCTTGATGCCCAAGCCTTGGGCAGCCCTGTAGAGTAACTACTGTAAAACTCTGCTGTCCTCTAATGCAGGGGCTATCGACGTCCCTGCCAATGCTTCATCCGGCGATGAGGAGGAGAAAGCGTGTGCCAGTGGTGGAAGCTCCCTGCCGTCTGCCCCGGACAGGTCACGTGACTCCCAGGGCAATGTTGGAGGAGGTGGTGAGGAGGCAGTAGGTGTCATATGCAACGTCGGCATCAGTCTCACAGGAGGGAGCTGCATCGGCACACTCACAGGGGCCCCCGGGGTTGGGGGGGCACGGTGCCAACATCGGCACCTGAGCCGTAAGTGCCTGCATTGAGGTCGACATCATCAACAGTGCAGGTGTGGGAGATGGATGTGTTGACGTTGTGAAGGCTGATGCTGAAGTTGGAGCCAAGCATGGTGCTGGAGTCTATGACGGTGCTGGAGGAAAAGGCTTCGGGACCGTAGGCACCGGGTGCAGATGCACACCGGAAGGCAGTATGTAAGTGGTGGAGGTGACTGAAGATGTCGCTGAGCGTGGGCCCTGGGGTTCTCCCTGGCCCTGGTGATCAGCCCAGGGAGTCCAGAAGGGCCACTGAGGCGGGTTCTGCCACTGCAGAGGACACACCTGATGCTCCTTTCTGTTTTTGCCCGACCTCGCTCTATGGCTTCTGCTCCTTGAGCGATAGGAGTTGGGCTTTGACTCCGAGGTCTCAGACATTGAAGACCACGGAGGAGCCGATCCTTGGTGTCTTGAACGGCAAGAGCTCGGGGAGTGAGAAGGCTCTCTGTCGGAACGTGTAGGTGTCGATGGACAAGGTGAAGGGGAGTGCCTCAACATCATAGCCGGCTTTCCCTTAGAATGCACTGGAGGACAGGTCTCTGTTGGCGCTGAGGGTTCCTCCCTGGCTGATGAGAACGGTGCTATCAAGTGGAGGAGATCTCTGGTGGCATGGTACGCTTCCGGTGTGGATAGGAGCTGAAGCTGCTGTGTAGGTGCCGGAGATCGAGGTGGGGCCGGACTTGACTGCCTCACCTGGATAGGAGTCAACACAGCCCCAGAAGGAGACGCCGAGGAGTGGCCCGCCTGGGGTCGCACTTCTCGAGGCTTAACCGGAGAACGGTTATCTGGCTTCTTCTTCTTTTGAGGCACCAGCAAATGGGAGTGGTGCCTACTATCAGAAGGGCCCCGTGAGGAACCATGGCATTGCCGAGCGCCCCTGGAGGACTCCTTCCTTGGCGCCGAAGTCACTGACTGCGTTCTGTCTCGAGGACGACGCCGTCCAGGTCGGGTCTCTCGAGCCCGGGTTGGAGTGGGGGCGCAAGGCTGCTGTTCCCGTTCTTTAAATGTTCTCGGGCGGAACTCGCAGCAGATCTTGCAATGATCTTTCTGATGAATCTCCTCCAGGCACCGAAGACATGACGAGTGCAGATCACTCTTAGGCATGCGCTTGGCACAAGCCAACCCAGTTCTTAAATCCTGAAAACCGCAGCATCCCATGGTGCCAGGGTCGGAGTGGGGGGGAACCCCCAACTATTATACTATACTAAACTTTAAACTGGTACTACTAACAACTAACTATATACACTGAATAATGAAGAAAACTTGCTGCACAAGAGCCAAGGGACGTTCCAGTCACCGTCACTGGCGGTAAAATGGAACTGAAGGGGTGGCGGGTCGGCAGGGCTATATATTAGACGCAATAAGGGCGCGACTCCAGGGGGTGCACAGGCCGACCTGAAGGAGACTGCTAAGGGAAAAATCTTCCAGCCATTGTGCACTTGTGCGTGCACGCCTCTGATTGGAATCGACATTAACCAGCACTCGAAGAAGATCTGTATTTATTGAATAGAGGTTACTCCATAATTTAGAAAAGATGTCAAAGCTTATGACCAGGTGATGAAAAATTATCAATGACTAGATTTATTAATTTAAGAAATAACTTTTCCCACAAATTCAACTAGATATTCCAATGCACAGTGCCCAATACAAGTACTTAAACTGCACTTTAATTTAAGCTTATAATCTAATCACTTATTTGTACTTTAACAGAGAATTATTTAGCTTGAATTATCTATTAAATATACACATTTCAGATTAACAATCAAGAACTGTCTTCAATGAGCATGAGTTTAGCAAATCTCTATAAATAAAATTCACATATGTAGATTATAGTGCCTCGCCTGACAAGTTGAGTGAAATGTCAATATTGTAAATGAGCATAACCCAATTCCCCTACCCTTCCATGGAAACATAAGTGATGAAAGTGAAGTCAGAATAAAGACAGACCTTAATCACATAACTTAATTTTTAACAGTAATAATGACTAGGGAAAGAAACTTGAAATTAAGGTAGTCTAGTTTAAGCAGTATTTGGCAATGCCTAAATACTCAAAACTTACAACCCTTTTCACATTTAAGTTTTGCTTGGAGTGCATGGAAATGGCAGAAGATAACTAACTAACAATATTGTTACTTACCAATAACTGTTTTTAGTCTTCCTTGGCATTCTTGTAAGAGGAGGGTCCAGACACCCAAGATGATAATGTAGTTTACAGGTATCACACAGTAAGAGGAGGTGTTGATCATGGTTCTTCTTACAAATTCCACAACTTTGAATAAATGCAGCCAAAAAAAGCATTAAAATTACATTTGAGATAGTAAAGCATATATTATACAGTACCGTATTTTTTAGTGACAATAAAAAGTGCAAGTATGTAAATATATGTTAATGACATCATACAGTTTTCACAGTATTCATTTAAAATTAAACTACATATTACTTTTGAAAATGTTTATGACTAAGCAGCTTTTAAAACTATGTGATATCTCATCTTCTAACATTTTCTTTAAATTTCATATTCAAGTGCTGTAGAACTACAGTTACTCTTCTGATTCTCGAATCAGGATATCCCATGATATTACCAAGCACCAGTGCAAAACACAATACACGGGGGGGGGCACCACCATGCCAGCACAAAGTGGCTAAGTAGAATATTATTACTACTATTAATCATTTATCTATTTAAATAACATTGAAAGACAGGACTGCAGTATCATCATGCTGGATAATGTACAAACACAGAATAAATCAGAGTTCACTTTTTAAATTGAGCTACTGTACCAATATTTGCAAAAAAAAAAGGAGTACTTATGGCACCTTAGAGACTAACAAATGCTCAAATAAATTTGTTAGTCTCTCAGGTGCCACAAGTACTCCTTTTCTTTTTGCGAATACAGACTAACATGGCTGCTACTCTGAAACCTGTACCAATATTGGCATTCTAGTTTAACAGTACAAAATTAATCTTTTTGAGACTTATTTATCACATAATGAAAAGAAAAGAAAAGAAAAGAAAAGAAAAGAAAAGAAAAGAAAAGAAAAGAAAAGAAAAGAAAAGAAAAGAAAGAAGCTTGCTGACCCGTCAACTGGAAGAGTAAATTTCCTCAAATGGCAAGTATTTTTAAAACTATACTTCTGAATACATAATATTGTTTGTACCAAAATCCTCACAGCAGTATAGACTACCTAATTCAAAAGACAATAGCATGGATTTAAAATTTCCACATTACAGTTGCAACAGATTCTGATATTTCAGATGTAGAAGCCATTTCTCTTTAAAGCACTGTAGTCTATTAACAGAGAAAGCCCTGCCAATGTGTGTGCCAAAATAAAGAAATGACTCAACTTCTTAGCTTGGAGATAAACATAACTCTAATGGCAGCCAATAGTAGGTAAGATGTGGGGGAGGGATTTTCTTCAATTTTTGTGTAAATAAACACATCAATTATAAATATTTATCAACACTCTCCGTACTATATCATGCCTATTCTATCAAGATTGCATTACTTGCCTATAAAGTACTGCTGGAAGCGTAGACGTCTTTTGTGTTCCTCCTTCCTTTTTACTTGGTTTCCTCTCCTTGGGTGCTCGCAAAATTGCTGGAATGTTCAATTTCTATTGGATTTGAACAAATGCAGTTTATACATAAGTTTTTTTGGGAAGAATCTAAGTATACCATTCCCGCCCATTTGCCACTCCACAGCCAGTTAAATTTGGTCAACCGCACAATACTACTTTTATGAGGGGGAAAACTTCTTTCTAAACTACTTTACAGGAAAGAGCAACTACAGTATTTATTTTGTCTCAAAACAAATTTTGTTTTTCACAGACTTACAGTCACATTTTTCAATGTAAAACTAAAACAAAAAAATGCAAACACTAAAGTCCTGGCTTTTAACTTCCCCCCCCCCAAATTTTGAGAGAGAGAGAGAGAAAGAAAGAAAGAACCCATTATACTTGACAAAAGAATATTGAGGCAGTTTATTTTCCTCAGCCTCTCTGTTATACTGGTGCTCCATAGGTTAATTAGAAAAATTATCTTATTGGACCAAACTCTCCACAAAGCTGACGAGATTCTCTTCGGGTTTCTACTAATCTGCAGAATGCAAGCTTCTCAGACAGCAACCATCTATCAAAGTCATTTCTTGGCGGCCCTGTGGGCCTGCATCTGTTCAACCAACTGGAAAAAAGTGTCATGCAAGCTGTGCAAATGAATTTTACTTCTACTTTCTATTTTTTTAAAATTTATTAATGTTTGCACTGGGAAATACACTCGTGAAGTTTTTAAAAAACTATTTTTAAAAGGCAAAATCTTGTTCCAGACAGACCACGTTCTACTAACAAAGAGAGATTTTTGTATAAGACAAGTAGGCAAAAAAAAATTCAGCCAGCTTGGCGTGAGTAACCAATATGATTAAACCACAAGCATTACTGCAGACATCAAGGGTAGATTTCATTTTAAGTACAGTAATACAAACACAGAAGTACCAAAGGCCATCACAAAAATCTCTGACACAGAATTAGGTGATGTCTTTTATTCTCATCCTCTTAAAATACTGACTCACTATAATATTTATTCTGCACAATTCCCAAAAGCACCTTTATAAGTGTGGCATGTCTATGTTCAATACATTACATCTTGAAAAAGACTGCTGTCTTCCTTGTGTGCCTGCCACATATAAGCCTTTTAGGGGGGTATGGGAAATATTATATAAAAGACCAATGAAATGACTCACTATTTCAGAAACACAGCCATCTACATGCTGACAGATACAGTTTTCAGTGTGAAAAAACACATGTACTGAACAAGTGTTCTCAATCTTCTTTAAAAACATGACTGGAAATAGTTTCATGTTCTCTTCTGATGTGTTAAGGAAAAGTTAGCATATGTGACTCCATTTTGGTTTGGGGCCCACCACTGTCTAAAAGCAAGCACATCATGCACCAGAAGGAGTGTTCCTTAGATACTGCATTCCTGTGAAAACCCTCCCCCTTGTTTCCAGCCTGTCTCGACTCCCGGTTTCTGTTCTTTGTCTATTCCTAACTCCCTGTCTCCTGGCCTTGATGTGAGCCCCCCATCCTGATAAGAAAGGCTACTGGTGCATTGCTTTAGGACCATGTTGTGTAGATGAAGTAACGGTTTAGCACGGGGAATGTACTTAGCAAGGATAGGTGGTAGATAAGGGAAGGGTTTGTCTATTGGCTAAGGTTTCCGATGCACGAGGGCAACATGCTTTGCTAAAAGGTATATAATCTCTGTATAACCTGCATTCGGGGTCCCCTCCTGACTAGCAGGGGGGCACCACACTCGAGCGTAATAAACTTAGTATCTTTGCGAACTCTGCAGCTGTGGACTTTGTTCATGTGCCTCAGCCTAGACTCGAACTGTGCGTGACCTATCGGGTATAATTCGCAGCAGTTCTTGTGCGTGACCTATCAGGTATAATTCGTAACAGTTTGTGTGTGTGACCTATTAGGTATAATTCATAACAGATGGATAAATGACACATTGCCATATTACATATATGGGGTTTCAGTGATTTATCATGAACATGATCCGTGTATCTGTTTACCTTTTATCTTAATTCAATGAATTTATGAGCATATTGAAGCATGAAATGTACCTCCTTCCTTACAATGGACAACATGGTCACTGGTAGCATCAAGAAATAATTAAACATTCCCATATCACTGATATCATATACTCACTATTTCTAAAAAAGGGTACATCTTTTTATCTGCATAATTTAGAAAACACTGTTGCAAATGATGTGTGGTTTTAGGGATGTACAGTTTATAAAATGGTCATAAACAGTCAATACAAACCCAAGGAACCATTCTACAGTATTTGAAACCTATAACTGCTAAAGAAAAAGTGGAGGGGAATACGGTGGGATTAACTCATGCTTCAGGTTTAGCTTTATCACAAATGACAGGTCAATCAGTTACAGCAAATGAAAGAATTTTGCAAACAAGATAGCTATTATAACAACAAAATTAAGCTACAGGTTCCCAGTAGGTTGCTTGCAGAGCTTTAGATATATTTTAATCAGAAATCATGAACCCCCAGAGTATGCAAAGGTGACAGATACAAAATAAAAAAACCTATTCTCTGAAAATCATGTGCACCTGTGTGGTGCAAAAGAGGGGGGGGGAATGAAAAGCCAACCTGCCCAATGATTCTACCCAGGAGAGTCCATATTCCTTGCCCCTCATTTCGTAGCTTTCCATTCATATTTTGTAGCTCTTCCAAGGACTCACACAGCTGAAAATAAAAAATTGAAAAACTCTTTTAAAGTTCATTTACTGAAGTTATTCAGCATCTATTATGTGAGAACTCTTTACCTATAACTTTTATAAATTACATAATTAAAAACACAATGAAACTCAATAGTCATGTCAATACATCAGAGATCAGTGCAGTCATTCAGGCATATAACAGCACTAAGAAGAAAGTTGGGCAGCCATCTGTTTTGTAAAAGAGGATCTGAAGTAATTCAGCATGACAATGAGGTTCCACAATCACAATCACAATCAGAAAGCAAAATTAAAGTATACTAATGCATCGTACAAATTGTATTATACTATTTGCAGCTATGAAGTTATGACAAATGTTTCTATACAGGGAATCAAGTTTTGTTCCTTCACCACCAAAAAAAACACGCACTCTTAAAAAACCAAGCACTTATTTTGTTAATTAAAAGAACACCGAAGCAGAAGACAGTATTCTGAAAAGTAATTGCCAGCTATAGTACTGTATACTAGTAATTTTGTTAATTGTCTCGTCCATTCCTCTCTTGTTATTCTTGGACAATACAACAAGCAGGTATTAACATTTGTTTGCATTTAAAACATGTGTTTAAACCACTTTTGATCAATTCTAACCTGCTGAATTCAGCAAGCATCAGTATATTATCCTGCACAAATAATAATTTTAATGGTTATATATATATATATAATCATATATATATATGATATATATATAGAATCATAGAATATCAGGGTTGGAAGGGACCTCAGGAGGTCATCTAGTCCAAACCCCTGCTCAAAGCAGGACCAATCCCCAACTAAATCATCCCAGCCAGGGCTTTGTCAAGCCTGACCTTAAAAATATAGTTTCAAAACAGTTCAAAAAGTCATAAGGCAATTTTTAATCAACACTAACTCTTCTACATACCATGACTTGCTTCATACACATTCATTATAGCAGCACTTCTTTGAGCCAATGTTATCATCTGTTGCTCCTCATAAAAAAAGTTTTGGGAAGGCTCAACATTTAGATATTGATAAAAGCATGGGCAACTGTTTTCATGTTTTGTTTTGTTTTGTTTACTATTTCATGTAAACAATTCCTGCACTGCTAGAAATCCAGAAACTACCACTAGATGAGAACCTGAAAGTCAAACTACCCAAAAACAAAACACTGAGTGACAAGTCAGGGGTCACTGTCCAAACTAAGTGCACACAAACAGCAAAGATGGTAAAAAGTAAGGCCCAAATCTTTCAGTTGGTTCCATGCAAAAGGGCCTCTGTGCTCAGGTGGAGCCTGTTAATGAGGCTCTATGTGAAGGATCAGTGCCCAACTTAGATTTTAGAAATTCACTGTAGTTGTGATAATTTAAAAGTAGGAAAGGTAAGATATATTTTAAGTAGCATTTTTATCCTGGTACTCCTCCTCTAAATAGCAGTTTTCCCTTTGAAAAGCAAAATTCTAACAGTTAACTCTCAAATGTTTAGTACAGTTGTATTCACTGCTTTTCTTACCTTGTTATATTCCACATGAAGTTTTTCTTGCTCATTTTCTAGTTTATCCTTAATATTCTTCTGTTCAGCCATATTTTCTTGGATCTGAATCATGCGCATATTTCTCTCTGTTTAAATAAAATCCAGTCCTTTCTAGCTTTAGTTGCATTTGTTCAAGTGTCCCACATTGTTAACAAATGGAACAAGTGTTACACATTTAAGCACTAAGTTAGAAAAATCTTAAAATGTGAAACTACTACTACAGAGAGAAAGAGAGAGAGGGGATCAAATTACAGGACACTGTCTTGTTAAATGATCTATGAGAGTGATGGAATACAAGCAAAAAAGAAAAGGAGTACTTGTGGCACCTTAGAGACTAACCAATTTATTTGAGCATGAGCTTTCGTGAGCTACAGCTCACTTCATCAGATGCATACTGTGGAAACTGCAGAAGACATTATATACACAGAGACCATGAAACAATACCTCCTCCCATTGTTTCATGGTCTCTGTGTATATAATGTCTTCTGCAGTTTCCACAGTATGCATCCAATAAAGTGAGCTGTAGCTCACGAAAGCTTATGCTCAAATAAATTGGTTAGTCTCTAAGGTGCCACAAGTACTCCTTTTCTTTTTGCGAATACAGACTAACATGGCTGTTACTCTGAAACCTGGAATACAAGCACTTTCCCACCATGTAGACCTGAGAAAAAAAATTTTCATGAATAGTTTATTTGCAAAAAAATGCAGTTTTGGTTAACCCAAAACTATTCTTGAATATGACACAAATTTGTGAGTAGTTCTGGATCATTTTTCTTTTCAGTACTTGGATGCCATTCTCAAAATGGCCAGAGAAAGTAGTGGTGAAATGGAGGTGATTGCCAGAGCCCTCCTTGTAACTTTTAATCAAGTGGTTAGAGCCCTCACCCAGGATGTGGAAGATGCAGATTCAACTCCCCTCTCTGCTGATATGGAGCAGGGATCTGAACTTGAGTCTCCCCCATTGCATTATATTACCCGGGTCACGGGCTAAGGGAATATACTGGTGTGGGTCTTTGGTGTGACTGCCCTTATCAATGGGATAAAAATTATAAGGCATCATCACCAAGTCTACCTCCTCGAATCTATCCCTTTAAAAAAATACCCACAACAGATTTTTTTCAATTTGCTAATTTTTTTTGCAGTTTTTAGATTCAGTTAACCCACAACAAATCTTTTTTAAAAAAAATTGAATCTCCTAGTGAACTGAACAAAATCAGTTATTCACCAAGCTCTACTGCCACATGCTTTTGCTGCATGAGCAAAGTCAGAGTGAGATAACTGTTTGATGATGTGCACTGATTGGTCATCTCAGATTAAACCAGCTGATCTCAATCACAAGAGCATGCCCTTCTAAGGTGGAAACAGAGTACTGAGGACCTAAAGACACAGTGCCCAAGATTTTGCTAGGGATGTTCAGAGGGGAGAGAGATGCTCTTCCACCTAACTTCAAAGAGGACAAAACAAAAAAGGTGCCAAATATCTACCCTTCCATGCCTGTCAACAAAAACATACTCCCTGCTGTTTATGTTAGCAGTAATTTAGTTTACAAAAGAGATATGTTTAAAAAGGCACACTAACTTACTTTATCATATTAAGATACTGAGTGTTTATGTGAACTCTACATTCATTTGAATGAGCAATGATAGCTTTTTCTCTAACGATAAGAAAAAATAATATATATATATATACACACACACACATACGAGCATACTCTGTTACTTTAACCAAACCCTCTCCTCTCTCTTTCTATAATTAGTCAAATGTTTTCTTCAAAACATTGTATAATACAAAGTCAATAGGTGTGGAGCATCGTCTATACGGTTTAAGAAACTTAAATTTCATATTCTCATCCTTACCAAGATAATAATTCACAAAATCAGCAGTCAGAGCCGGTTGCTTATGTTTTCTCCTTCCGTCCACACTGGAACTGGTATCTGAAGTGTCCACGGGAAAGATGTCTGTACTAATTCCCATTAATTCAGCTTTGCGCATCAGCTTACGTATGGCTGAAGCACTGCTAGTGAGTGGTCGTGGCAGCTTCTCCCTGGGAACCCATGCCTGAGGCCTGGTGGTACGAGCTAATTCTGCCTTGGCACGATACTGCTGCAGTCTGGCATTGATTCGGGCCTACAATCAAATTCCCGGAAAAATCAAAATAGAATAAAATGGTGTAAAATGGAATCCAAATCACTTTTGCCAGTAAACTTAACCTTCCTTTAGACTACACGTACACTAGGCACTACTTTCAACAAGAAAAAATGCACAATCTAATCCAGCATTTTTCAACGCTTTAGGATGTGATAACTCAACAGACAAAACCATATATGAATATCATTTGATTTTACTTTGACATTTGTAGTTAACTGGCAGCATATTTTCTTAACCTTAGGTTTGTGAAGTCAAATGGAGTAATATTCAGAACTTTCTTTCTGGGAATACCACCTTCAACAAGACTATTAACGTAAGTGGTCTTCTGGCAATATGATGGCATATCTAATAAACATAAGTAGATGGAACTGTCTATGTTCACAAAGTGGGAAAAACCCTTGGCTTAGGTATCAGAAAACAGATTAAGATGTGAGTACACTGCCAGCATAACTGCCATCTAAACCTTCTGGCTGACACTTATGCCAAGTCTATAAGCCTCTTTTATAGGAACTCCTTTCCCAGTTATAGCACTGCCCACACATACCTCTTTATAGATAAGTACACTAGCTGACATTAAGGAAATTCACAAACAAAAGCAACAGAGGCACTAGAGGCACACTGTATATATTGCTGACGGCATCTGTATATTTTGGACATCTGGGAGACCAACACCAGAAGGTCAAGTTGCTACATGTAATTGGAAAATACTGCCTGCAGAAAGTCTTTGCAGTTGCAGACAATAACACGAGCGTAAAAACCATGACAGGCATGAATCCAGCTAAGTACCAGTTACAGTTTGTATACTCGCCTGCATGAAGAGGAAGTTAGGCTACAGAGCATTAATCCAACTCCCCCAACACATGGTATGAGATACCCTTACATGTGAGAGAAAGGCAAAAACATGTGCATATACATACTACACTTGAGGAACACCAGTTAACTCAGCAGTTCAGTTTACTAGCTTATGACCAGCATGATCTGGAGCAGGGTGTCAAACATCTGGTTTGTAGGCTGAATCCAGCCTCTCTTCTCCAGCCCATAGCACAAAGGACCAGAAGTGAACTGGAATGGATAGACTGAGTAGGCAGGTCATGCTTTATTTGGCACAGGCACCTGAGCCCTCTCCTTTTTCTTTCCGCCTTCCCCTCCACTCAGTTGCTGCTTTTCATAGACTAGGCAGCACCACAATGCCTCAGAGATGAGACAGAGTAGGCTTCTTCCCAGCTGAACCACTATTCAGTCACTCTCACCCAGGTCTCAATCCTCTGTGCTGCTATCCAGACACAGATTTTGTCTTCATTGTTTAAAAAAAGATGTGCTTTTACTCTGGAATAACTAACACACATCTGCTATCTCAATGTAAATCCTACTGATGACAAGACACCATAGTTTTCACCATAAGGGAAATTGAGACAAGGGGTCAACCACAAAACAGAGAAAGTGGCGTGACTCAGTGGCTAGAGCATTAGACTGGAACTTCAGAGACCTCGGTTCTATTCCTAGCCTGCTGGGTGATTTGGGACATTACTTAACCTTTTTGTGCCATAGTTTCCTCATCTGTAAAACAGAGCTAATGATGCTGGCCTCCTTTGTAAAGGGCTTTGAAATCTACTGATGAAAAGTACTATGTAAGAGCTAGGCATTATTAATTATTATTATTACTAACAGTGTTTTATATGAATAATATCACTAATAGTTAGGGCCCTACCATATTCACGGCCGTGAAAAACATACCAAGGGCCATCAAATTAGACCTCCCCCATGAAATCTAGCTATTGGAAAGGAGGAGAGGAGAGGGGAAAGGAGGAGAGGGGAGAGGTAGCTGGGGGAGATTCCTGGAAATGGAGATGGATCTGATCTTCCCTCTGCTGCTAGGAGAGCCTGCACAAGGGGCTGCTAGTCCCGGCCAGGCTGAGGAGGGACAGGACTTCCTCTTCCCCTGCACGGCCGCTCTGGGTGTGTGGGGGAGGTCAGACCCACATGTGGGTACCTCCCCCAGCTGCAGTGGGTACCTCCCCCAGCTGCAGGGAGCTCCGTGGCTGCGCTACCTTCAGAGCCGCAGTGCAGCCATGGAGCTTCCTACAGCTGGGGGAGCTATCCACAGGTAGATCTCATCTCCCACCAAGAGCAGCCATGCAGGGAAAGAGGAAATCCCGTCCCTCCCCAGCCCAGCCCGGACTAGCAGCTAGAAGCTCCCTGCTGGGGCGCTCCCAGGGAAGATTCTCCCAAAAGGAGAGAAAAAGAGAGGGAGGCTGAGGATGCCCAAAGTTGGGCAAATGAGTAGGGGAAAAGAGGAATCATTCACAAGAAGGAGGAGCGGTGGCTAGACATGGAGGGATGCATGGAGAGGAAAGTTTCACCAACATGTATACTTTTTAAATTAGTCTTTGTCTTTAAATGTGATATTTAGCTTCACTAGTTAAAGGGGCACACTCTGCAGTCAAAAGAAAGTACCCAATTTGCCTCTTACCAGTAAACGTTCTACTCCTGGTCATGGCCCCTAAATGAACGGATAATTCAGCCCTCATGATAGAACATGTATTAACACAAATTTAACACCCATAATCTACAGCAGGGGTTGACAACCTATGGTACGCGTGCCAAACACGGCACACGAGCCAATTTTTAATGGCACGCTGCTGTCTGCAGGGGACAGCAGCGTGCAATTAAAAATCCTGCCCTGCCCGGCCCAGCCCACTCTTCTCCACCCACCGCTCTCTCCTTGCAGGGCAGGCAAGCTTCCCCCTCCCCCCACCTCTTCCCCCAGCATGCTGGGTTTCTGCCCCTCCTCCTCTCCCTCCCTGCAGCCGATCAGCTGAGGGCCCTTGCTACAGAGGGGAGAGGGAAAAGCAGAGCCGCAGCCTCTTGCGCTCTCTGCTCTGGGGACCTTGCGGAAGGGGGTGGAATCGGCATATCCCCTCCAGCCCCCTGCCGTGAGCTGCTCAGGGCAGGGGGCTGGGAACACCCCCATGACCCCAGCCCACACCACCCAGCCCTCTGCCCTCACCCTTGCACCCTCCATACACCCCAGCCCCGTGCCCTGACCCCTGCACCCCTCCCAGCCCCCTGCCCTGACTCCTGCACCCCCCACACATACCCAGCCCCCCCACACCCCGTGCCCTGACTCTTGCACCCCCACATCCACATCTCCACCCCGACCCTGAGCACCAAATGGGAGCTCCTGCACACACACCCACATTCCCACCTGCACCCCTCACACCAAATAGGAGCTGCCCAGGTAAGCGCTCCACACCCAAACCTCCTGCCCCAACCCTGAGCCCCTCCCTCATTCTAGCTCCTGGCCAGACTCTGCACCCCAATCTCCAGCCTGCTCCTTCACCCCCAGCCCTCTTCTCAGTGCACTCCCACCCTCATCTCAGTGTAGAGCGAGGAAGAGAATGGGCCAGAACCAGGGAGAAAAGAGGTACCTACTCTATGTGGACAGGGCCGGGACCCCAGACTGGCAGCGGGCTGAGCAGGGCCAGCAGCCAGGACCTTGGCTAGCAGGAGCCAGCGGACGGAACCCCAGACCAACAGTGGGCTGAGCCACTCAGTCCACTGCTCATCTGGGGTCCCGGCCACTGGCCCCACTCAGCCCACTGCCAGTCTGGGGTTCTGGCTGCCGGCCCCTTGTCAGCCAGGGTACCGACCGCAGGCCCCGCTCAGCCCGCTGCCGGCCTAGGTGAACGGAACCCCAGCCTGGCAGAGGGCTGAGCGGGCCAGCAGCGTAAGATCAGCATTTTAATTTAATTTTAAATGAAGCGTTTTAAACATTTTGAAAACCTTGTTTACATACAACAATAGTTTAGTTATATAATATATAGACTTATAGAGAAAGACCTTCTATAAAACGTTAAAATGTAATATTGGCACATGAAACCTTAAATTAAAGTGAATAAATGAAGACTCGGCACACCACTTCTAAAAGGTTGCTGACCCCTGATCTAGAGCGGAGGTGGGCAAACTATGGCCCATGGGCCACATATGGCCTGCAGGACCGCCCTGCCCGGCCCTTGAGCTCCTGGCCAGGGAAGCTAGCCCCCGGCCCCTCCCCTGTTCTCCCCCATCCCCTGCAGCGACACCGCCGCGCAGGCAGTGCGTTTGGCTCTGTCTGGGCAGCGGGGATGCGGGTTCCTGCTGCTCTGAGCGGCATGGTAAGGGGGCGGCGGTGGGGTGTGTGTGTGTGTTGGATATGGGGCAGGGAGTCCAGGGGCAGTCAGGGGTCAGAGAGCAGGGGGCAATTGGATGGGGTGGAGGTTCTGGAGGGCTGGGGGGTGGTGGTCAGGGGACAGGGAATGGAGTGGGGGGTTGGATAGGGCGTGGGAGTCCTGGGGGGCCTGTCAGGGGGCAGGGGTGTGGATAGGAGTCGGGGCAGTCAGGGAACAGGGAGCAGGGGGGTTGGATGGGGGTGGGGTCCTGGGGGGCCTGTCTGTGGGCAGGGGTGTAGATAGGGGTCGGGGGGGCAGTCAGGGGACAGGGAGCTGGGGGGGCTGGATGGGGGGGGATCCCGGGGGGAGGGGCATTTGGGGAAGGGGGTCCTGGGAGGGGGCGGTCAGGGGACAAGGAGCAGGGGGGGTTGGATGGATCAATGGTTCTGAGGGGGGCAGTCAGGGGGCGGGAAGTGTGAATGGGTGGATAGGAGGCAGGGGCCAGGCTGTTTGGGGAGGCACAGCCTTCCCTACCTGGCCCCCCATACAGTTTCGCACCCCGATGTGGCCCTCGGGCCAAAAAGTTTGCCCACCCCTGATCTAGAGAGACTGGAAATACAGAATGATGGCAGAAACAAGAAACATTCATAATTTCTATTAGGGAACAGGGATGAGAACAATCTGTACGCTCACTCTTCCTTTAAACATGGCGGTGCTCAGCTCTCTTGAACTTTAATTCAAGTCCATTCAGTCTCTTGTCCATTAATTTAGGTGCATAAATAAAGATTAAGCCTAATTTTAGGCACCCATTTTTTTTAAATCTTGACCCAGGCCTACAATGGTATATTTATATAGCCTATCTGTGACTGCTAGTAGCAAATAACCCCAATGGCCAGGGAGGGCTCTGCGTTACTACAGGGAATTCTTTCCTGGTGTCTGGCTGTTGGGTCTTGGTGAAATGCTCAGGGTCCAACTGACCGCCATATCTGGGGTCAGGAAAGAATTTCCCGCGGTCAGATTGGCAGAGACCTTGGGGGTTTTTTGGCCTTCCTCTGCAGCATGGGTCATTTGCAGTTTTAAACTAGTGTAAATAGTGGATTCTCTTTAACTTGAAGTCTTTAAATCATGATTTGAGGATGTCAGTAAGGCCTCCAGAGATTATAGGTCTATTACAGGAGTGGATGGGTGAGGTTCCATGGCCTGCAATGTGCAGGAGGTCAGACAAGATGATCATAATGGTCCCTTCTGGCCATACAGTCTATGAGATTCACAGCAAAGACCTTTACAATTTAGGCATTGGTTACAGAGCCCCTTTTTTTCCCCTTGTCTATCATTTCTGCCACTATTATGTAGATCCACAGCTTGCCTCTGCCACCATCATCCTTATCCCCTTACGGTTTCTCTCAGCCACTTTTCTGCCCCACAGAAGCACCTTGAAGCACAGAGTCAGTCTCCCTCCTCTCAATTCTTGTCTCTGGTGTCACAGCAACCCCTGACAGCTGGGAGGAGAAACTGCATGAAAAATCCTACTTAGCCCAGGTCTGGGGCATGCCCAGTACAAATGGAACCTTCTGAGTGTTTTGTTTAAAAACTATCATCCATTGAGTATATGCAAACAAATTTTTTACAGGATTATAAATGTTTGAATTTCGGTGGATTTTCATGAGGCCGGCAAAAAACCTATTGACACCGGGGCAACTCACTTGCTAAAGTTCAAGTCCCTTCTTCAAACCACAGAGGCACTAGAGCTTCTCAGTTAAATTAATGAAATAATTTAGCATGGGCAAAACATTTTTCCCCTAACCTCATTCTGAGAAATAGCTGAATCACTTTTACTGAAATGATCTATGCACACACACACACACACACAAACCTGAGGCAGACACACAGCATGGAAAATTTCAGCCTAAAGGACTGAAACATACAAGCAACTGAAAATAGGGGTCTTATATTATGAAGTGTTAAGGCAACCTTATCCGTAGGCTTTGCTATAGCTCCTTGTAATAACTAAGGAAGAAGGCGGAACTTTCTTCTAACATACACATAGCAAAATGTCCAAAATCTTGGCTGCTTTGACTGATTTCTATTTTTTTAGAATCTTGAAATAAAGTTTAGAAGTAAAATAAATACAACTATGGAATTAAAAAAGAATTATAAATTACCCTGGTATCATAGAGAATTACATAAACTAATCAGGATTATTTCCATTCAGATGCGTGCATGTGCACCTTTTCAAGGATTATATTATGGGGTCATTCACTCTTAGGGAATCCAATCTAAAGATAATTCACTGCCATATTAATTGACCATATGCCATCAATGTAGTCCAAATTTCATTTTCAACCACCGTAATTCCACCTCTCTCTTCCCCCCTCTTCTCATTTAACATTGATGATTAACGCACATGCAGCTTTGGCATGGGTACAATACCTGCGCTTCTGGTGAGAGCTGTTTCTCTCTTTCCTGCAAGGACATTTTACAATAAGACTGTAAAGCCAAGTAGTTCTTCCGTTTCCATTTTCTGTCTAACCTGTCCGCGTGCTGTTTACAATAAGCAAAAAAAGGATCTGCTATGTCCTGTTTCAGCAAGAAAAAGGGATGGAAAAGAAGGGGGGGGAAATCTAGTTAGAAAAATGATACAGAAGAACATAAAGCCAGCATTTCATGTATAACACAATTAACGTTGACAGCTAGGGGTAAAGAATACAAGCCAAAATAGGGGAAGAACAGGCTAAAGAATATTTAGATAAATTAGATGTATTCAAGTCAGCAGGGCCTGATTAAATTAATCTTAGGGTACTATTTTTTAATAATCCTAGTTTTTTTTTAAATTTTTTTAATTTTAATTTTTTTTTATAATCTTAGGGTACTACTTTTTAAAAGGGGAACAAGGAGGACCCGGGAATTACAGACCAGATAGCCTAACTTTAATATATGGAAAGATATTAGAGTAAATTTTTAGACAATTGATTTATGGGCATCTGGAGGATAACAGGGTTATAAGGAATAGTCAGCATGGATTTGTCAAGAGCAAGTCATGCCAAACCAACTTAATTTCCTTCTTTGATAAGATTACTGACCTAGTGGATGGGGAGAAGCAGTAGACATGATATACCTTGATTTTAGTAAGGCTTTTGACAAAGTTCCACATGACGTTCTCGTAACCAAACTAGGAAAATGTGGTCTAGATAAATTTACTATAAAGTGAGTTGCACAACTGGTTGAAAGACCTTACTTTAAGGGTAGTTATCAATGGTTTGCTATCAAGTTGAGACAGTGCATCTAGTGGGGTCAGTCCTGGGTCCAGTAATCTTCAATATTGTCATTAATGACTTGGATAATGGAGAACAGTGTATGCTTATAAAATCTGCAGATGACACCAACCTGGGAGGGGTTGCAAGCACTTTGGAGGACAGGTTTAACATTCAAATGGAAAATTGGTCTGAATTTGACAAGATGAAATTCAATAAAGCCAAATGCAAAGTACTTCCCTTAGGAAGGAAAAATCAAATGCACAACTACAAAATGGGGAATAACTGTCTAGGTGGTAGTACTGCTGAAAAGGATCTGGGTTTATAGTGGACCACAAACTGAATATGAGTCGTTAATCTGATGCAGCTGCAAAAAAGGCTAATATGATTCTGGGATGTATTAACAGGAGTGTTGTATGTAAGACACAGCGAGGTAACAGTCCCACTCTACTCAACGCTGGTGAGACTCCTGCTGGAGGACTGTGTCCAATTCTGGGCACCACAATTTAGGAAGAATGTGGACAAATGGGAAAGAGTCCAGGGGAGAGCAACAAAAATGATAAAAGGTTTAGAAAACTTGACGTATGAGGAAACGTTGAAAAAACTGGGCATGGTTAGTCTTCAAAAAAGACAACTGAGAGGTGACCTGGTAATAGTCTTCCAATACCTTGAAGACTATTATAAAAAGGACGGTGATCAGTCGTTCTCCACGTCCACTGAAGGTAGGACAAGAAGTAATAGGCTTAATCTGCAGCAAGATTTAGATATTAGGAAAAATTTTCTAAGTACAAGGGTAGCCAAGCTATGGAACAGGCTTCCAATGGATGTCATGGAGTCCCCATCATTGAAAGCTTTTAAAAATAAGTTGGACAAACACCTGCCAGGGATGATCTAGGGGTTTACTTGTTCCTGGCACAGCGCAGAAGGCTGGACTTGATGACTTGTTGAGGCCTTTTCCAGCTCTACATTTCTAAGATTCTATGTTTCAAATAGATGGGTCTTGTAGAGTAACACAGTCAGGGTTTGCATCAGTTTAACTAAAGGTCTGTTTAAAACCAATTTAGTTAAATTGATGCAAGCCCACATGTGTACACTCAAACAGATTTTTAGATTGTGTATATTGATTTAGCGTAATTCAGTAAGGAATTGAGTTAAGCTAAATCAACGGAAGCCAGGTTTAAACTTGTTTAAAAGTGACCACACAGGAATTTTGCTTTTGTTTTTTAAGCTGAGAAGTTTCTTTTTTAGACTAGCTACTTTACAGTTTATGAAAACAACATAATTTGTTACAAAATTTCAGTTTCATATATCAAAAGAGGATGCTAAAACTATACTAGCAATTATTTCCACCCAGAATTGCAAACAGAATTAAAAGGTATATTTAATTGTTCCCATAACTCATGTAGCTTAAAGTCTAAATTCCATTATTTGCACACAGAAGTGACCACATTATCAAAAATGTAGGTGAAAATAATGAGGGTTCAGTTTCAGAGAACAAGTTGAAGCCAAATTGAAAAGTCTAACCTTAGAAGTAAAAGATTTGTTTTAGTTAAATGCCTCAATTAAAGGTTTCAGTAGACACCGTATTTTAAAATGTTACGGAGGGGTCAGTGCTACCCAATATGCTAATTAGTTTATGAATTATTTTTGTTTGCTTTTTTTTTTTTTATTTAATATTCACAGTTAAAGAGCACTGAAGCAGGTCCCAGCAAATACAACACAGGACAAACCAACACTGCGAGCACCTCATCGTTCTCGAGTACAGCTACCTAGTGCCGCACAACAAAGCAATACATTCTCCATGTACTCTTTAACAGTCTCTAATGATCTCCAAAAAAAAAAAAATTAATGAATTTACATTTCTGCAAGTTAACCCCAGGGAAAAGGGAACAACTTCCTATGACAAGTGTTGTACCAACAGGTAACAATTACAATAAAGCACATAAAGAAAGCATTTAGAGCATTGTATTACTGCACTAATCATGAAGATGAGATGGGAGAGTTGTCATTTTTCTACATTGAAGTGATGGAAGTTATTTTTGTGTATCCAAGGTTGTTGTTTTTCCTCTGTGCCTGTTCACAGACAAATTATAAGGTTACTAGTATATTTTAATACTAAATAGTTATAAAAACCTGCCCTCTTTATCTCCTTCTGTAATTATGAAGTGCTCCTGGTTGCTGTTTGGACAGTTCCAAGAAACACTCACCTCTCTTTTGCCCCAGGAGCTCACTAGAATATTTGATCATTCCAGAAGAGACAGGCAGGGAGTCCTTACATATATGTTAAATATAGAATGTATGGTCTCTCCATATTGTTTCTCTGGGAAGCAATCACATTCTGCTCAATATTCCTCCAACAGATCAAAGTTTCCAAGGAAGGGGACATTTTGGGAAAAAGCCACACACCTTATTCTGCATTAAGTGAAAGAGTTCATTATTATGTCTTGTTTTCCAAATACATTCTTCAAAGAGCATGGTTTTCCTTTTGACTTCTTCAAAGTGGTATTCGTATGGCCTAAGCACCAGCAGTATTTTGTATGATCTCTCACATACATAATTTTCTTCTATTTTTCATTCTTCACTTACTACATTTTCACATTCTTATGGCTGAACTACTTTATCAATTCATTTACCTCGTGTATACAGTCTGCAAGCTGAATAAGACTGCCTCAGCCAAAGGTGGATTAATACATCTCAGTTTTCATTCTCTTTTTAATTTCCAGCAAATTTTCTATATGAATAATTGTCAGTACAATTTACTAACCAGGCACTAAAATCCACTCAGTATCTCATGACAACAAACAAATTAAATATTTTACTTGCCTGTCCAAAAAAAGCCCACCAACCTACTCACCAGAGGCAAGTAAAATTTTGCAAGTTTCATTCAAAAATATACGCTGTATATTTAGATTTCAGGGTAGGGGAATATACGTGAAACAGAGCTTACCTCCATAGGAATTTAAATTAACAATTCTCAGTTATGTGATTCCAAGGACTTGATTACAAAATACTTTGTTTGCAGTTGTTTAAAGATATGCAGTGTTTTTAGGTGAAAAGCACTGCAAACACATACAATGATGGAAATTCACAACATGAGCTCCTTAAAGAATCAACATTAAACCTCATCTAGTAGACCCATCACTGTTTAACTGAAGGCACCATGTTTATCTTCCCAGCACTTCATCTTGTAGGTGAAATTTACTTTTTGTGCACAGTTCTTTTTGTGCACAGTTCTGACAGAGAATTACTAATGGTCTAAATGGCCAGTTCCTTAAGAAATAAGAAAGACAATGATTCCAATGTAGCTAATGAATGACAACAAAGCCTGCATGTCAGTGTGTGCGATTATGTGCACATCCCTCTCACTCACCTATACACAATTTACTTTCTGTCACATTTACTATATGTAAAGATGAATATGACTGGCTAAACTTGAACTTTGTAATTAGGGCAGAACACTAGACACTTACAAGGTATTTCCATTGAATAAATCAGCCCTTATGCAAAATCTTGTCATTTGGATTGCTTTATTCATATTATCAAGAAGAAAACTGGTACCATGAGTGAATATGTAAGGAATATGGAATTTAAAAGTAAGTATTTTAACTGGATGCAATTATTGGTAATTTACAAAAACTCAGAATGAAAATCAAGAAATATCATATTAATACAATGAAAGTTACTTATTTAGGTTACATCTTTTTTCAGTATTATCATTAAATTGTATCCAAAACATTTGAAGAGAAAAAGGGCCCCATTTGTGCCATTTGAACAGCACAAAGGGGATGTAATCTGGCTACAGCTGGAAACTGAGCAAAGCAGAGGGAGATTCTAAACTGGAAAGAAGCTGACAAAGCAAACTCCTGCACCAATGCGCCCAACTCTTAGTTAGGGCCATTTCAGGAGAAAGAAGTGGTAAGATGGGGAGTGGGATAAGAGGAGCTCCTCTAACACAGTCATTAGATAGTGTATGATTCCTTAGAGACAATAACTAGCTATCATAAATCAGAGCAGGCCTTAGGCTGTCCTAATTTAAATTAGGGCTAGGCCAGCTTGAAACAGCTTCTTGTGAAGCGCATATCTTGGCACAGGAAAAAAAAGAAAAAATCTAGCCCACTTCCAAAAATATACTTATGACCTCACAGCAGCATCTTATCAAAAACTCTCCTCAGGAATGTTATCCAGAAACACAGTAAGCTTCCCACATGCTTTTGTTAGGACATTTCCATTTTATGTTTTTCTAAGGAAGTTGCATCACACACATACCTCTTCAGCTGCTGCTTCTGACAGCAGGCCTTCTTTCTGAGCACAGGTCACATGGAAATAAGCTCTACACATGCCAGCATCACAACTAATGCAAACACCAGTTCTGGCAAAACGAGGGTCTTCACAAAAACTGCATTCCTAACACAGAAAAATGGTAAAATTAACTACAGAGTAAACACGATAATAAAGATTCCACATTCCATTTTTAATTTGCTTTGGCATAAATGAAAGATAATTTAGATGTCTTCTATACAGACACACAAAGTCTGTTAAATGTTACTAATGGATGGATTTAATCTCATGAGGTATAGCAATACAGTTAAGGCTAGCTACCTTTACTGGGATTCTCCAAACTTCTTTTTTTAATCCTATATTCCCTTTCAACAGGTAAAGTACAAGACTTGAAATAATAATACTGGCTCTTCTTGTTTTCTTGCACTGGTAGGTTTCAACTTAGACTCTGCACATACTTTGTTTTATGTGATTAAACATGCTTTGTTAAAATTAAGAAGAAATTAAATATAATAGACTTAAACAAATGATCATCTGGCTAATTTGTAAGCAATAGTCATAATAGTAATAAAATCAGTGCAGTAATCCTTATTTAGGAAGGATCCAATTGTATTAGCAACTTTATAAACTATACAGATAAAATCAGAATCACCTCACCCACAAATGCAATATATTCCAGGTTGGAGAGACGCTGTGAAAACGTAGCAACACACAATGCTATACAACTGTTTAGTCATGAAATGAAGAAGAATACTGCATTAAACTGTATAAAACTGAAGCTCCAGAGGGAATTCAGATAGGCAGAATATAAAATAATTATCCATATTTTCATTAGAAACTGAGACTCATTCTTCCTTGTGATAGGGTTAGTGTTTTATTTTGCCAACATATTGCACTGCCTTGGATCACTGACTCTGCCCACCTGTGAAGAGCATTATTTATCCTATAATCCCTTTTAAAGTTTGAGATGTGCCCAAATTACTACTTCTGCTCCTATTAATCAGTTAAGTCATCAGAAAAACCTAGCTATTGTGTAGAAAAGCTGCTGTACAGAGGTTGCCCACTTGGACACTTCTATAACAGTGCTGAATGTTTTGGAAGACTCAAACTAGGCATGCTGGAGAGCAACTTGCAATACACACAGGCTACTCTTCAGTCATCCTGGCATAAAAGTCTTTTTTGTTGGTGGTGGTGGTTAATTTAGTATTCATGAAAGGTCCCACATTGATAGCCTTGGGAACTCAAATTTTACATGCACCAAATGGGTACAACAAGAGAAGCAACAGCAAAATCTTCCCCACATGGCCTGACACCTAGAGAAACATTTGGACATAAGAAAACCAAGGAACCATCTACCAGAAATCCTTTGATCTCTATTGAGTGTCATTTTGTGCCAATTGTAACGGTAATTTGAGTGCTATGCACAAACATCCTCTTATGAACTGGACTAAAAACAATTACACTTCACATAAAAGTCCATTTGGGGAAGGCGGAGTATATTTTTCACTCAGACTCCCATACATTCCTCAACTCCCTACATTTATACTTTGGCAGACTGCCATTAACACACATAACAAGGAGGTAATGAGTGTCTCCAGAAACAAGGAGAGATGGGGAAGAGAATGAGAAACAAAAGAAAAGACAAAAGAGAATGCATACTTCTGTTTTTATTGCATTTCCAGCCCTGAATCTTGTTGCATTTGTTGCAAAAACAGAATTACAAAAAGCTAATAAGATATTCTATGCCATATATGTAGAGCAAATAAAACTATACCTATGTAAACTATACCTCTTCTAGTCTTACCTTGGCACCATACTTAGAATAGTTCATTTCAGTAAGCGTTACTGGCCGCAGCTTGTCAATATCTCCAAATGCCACTCCTGGAACATAGAGGGCACAAACAATGTGGACCCACCTACAACAGCAGAAAAATTAAGCCATTATCATCAAGAACAACAACATTTTGCTCTTGTATTGCACTCTTCGTCTGCAGATCTCAAAGTACGTTACAATGGATTGAAAGTATCATTCACATTTATAGATAAGGAAAATAAGATATAGAAAGCCAAGGGTGTCAGAAACAGGAACACAAGCCTATTGACTCACAGTTGAATGGACCATCCACAAGCCTCTGGTGCCTCTCTCCTATCACTTAGATTTTTTTTAATTTGTTTTAACTTTTTCCAGGCCAAGAGTTGTCAGCAGCTTTCTTTATATGGCTAATCTGTCAAATCTTAAGGTTTCAGAGTAGCAGCCATGTTAGTCTGTATTCGCAAAAAGAAAAGGAGTACTTGTGGCACCTTAGAGACTAACCAATTTATTTGAGCATAAGCTTTCGTGAGCTACAGCTCACTTCATCGGATGCATAAAGTGGAAAGTACAGTGAGGAGATTTTATATATACACACAGACCATGAAAAAAATATACATTGTAAGGAGAGTGATCACTTACGATGAGCTATCACTCTCCTGCTGGTAATAGCTCATCTTAAGTGATCAAATACAAGTTCAGTAAAAACCACAAGCATTACCTCTCTCTACCCCTAATACGGTTTGGCTCAAACATTGCATAATTTGTATGCTGACTCTCTTGTGGGGAATGAAGGGAAGCTGCTCCCAAAAACAGACAGAGACAAAAAGTCACTTTGCCAACCACTTTGTCAGAGGCGGTTTCTCTTCTTTTTCTTGATTTGTTTACATACTTTGAATGATCTGCCATATGATAATGCAAACAAACACAGAACAGAACTCACTAGACCTCCTAATTCCTGCAAGGGAGTTAAAAAGGCAGGAGCAGTACTAAGCCTAAAATTATTTGAATGTTAAGAAAGAACCACCACTTCATCAATGAGATTTTTTTTTAAAAGCCAGGGTTTGTTTTTTTTTAATGAAACATCAAATCACAGAGTGTGTTACTTTTCAAGAGCCAGCTACTATCATAGCTGATATATTCCATTTTGCAGTATCAAATATTAAAGTATAACACTGGTCTTATAAACAGCTCAAACGGGAATTAATTCAGGGAAGTCTAATGGTCTGCATTGCACAGGTCAGACTAGATGATCACAAGAGTCCTTTCAAGCTTTATAATCAATGAAAGACTAGATGATAAAATGGGAAAATCATGATTCTGAGAACATTAGATCAATAATATGTGAACATGGCAAATCATCCTGAGTTTACTTGGTGTGTCAGACTCTTTCCCAACAATGTACACAGATGGCATGATGATTTCTCCCAATTTGAGACCACCTGATAATCTATTGGATTTAATTAAGAATGAAATAAATGTATTTGTTGACAAAGACTAGGAATGTTAATATACCTTCCCTTCGAATATCCCTCCGTACACAGTTTTGGAATTTGGACCTTTACAAAGGGAACAACCAATGTTCCTGGCAATATGTCCAGTGCTCTAGTAATTCTAAAAAAAAAAAAATCTCCTGTATGATAAACTTTTAAGCATCACTAAAAAAAAGCATTGGTGTCTCTTGTCAAAAAGCTCTGTGGATAGTTATGCAAAACTAGGAGACATCAAGATACAAGACTTCACAATAAATTACAACATACTTGACAGGTAAGCTTGAAAACAAAATAGAGAGAAAAAAAATAAATTTGGATATATATTTAAAGAAATAATCTGATCACATTGTGCCAATGACTACCTTTGAAATATTTAAATAATGCAGTTAAAACTTTAGTTATGTGAATAATAGTAATTGTGGCAGCAATTGCTAGAATTAAGTCTGTACGTGCATTTCCATCTAAACTCATGTTTTAATCCACTTAAAGCTTTCTGAAATCTTCACCATTTGAGTTGAAATTATGTAGGTTTGGTCTATGTTGAAAGGAGAATTTCTTCATAACTGTGGCCAAAAAAAAGCTCAGTGACTTTGAAGCATAAAGACAGTGGAGAGGAAACAATTCCCTTTCCAAAAATCCTTGTAACCTTTATCTGAACAGCTCTAGAATTGAAACAGCTGGTTGTAATAAGCTGAACTATCACACGGAAGCAGTCACAGTGGACCATCAGTACTTTTAAGCATTCAGTGAATGCTTGTTTTTTTACTTGACCAGTCAAGGTGCCTTCAGGTCCTTGATTCCTGTGGCAGTAGGATCAGAGAGCTAATGTATGAGATGTCTCAAGAAGAAAGCATAGAGTCTTGGTGCCATAGAGTTCACATATTATCTCTTGGATGAGAGGGTATGGACAGAGAAATAGATTCATGCTATCTATGTTAGATCCCCAATCACTGAGGCATCTGAGAGCCCCAAAAATTATAACTTAACAACAAGGAATCCAGTGGCACCTTAAAGATTAAAAGACTTATTTGGGCATCAGCTTTTCTCACAAAACCCTTGTAACATAGGGATGTACTACTATCTCCACTGTACAGATGGGAAACTCCTCCTCTCATATGTATACATCAGAGTTCAATGTCCAGGTTCCGTAACCAGAAAATAGTCTCTGTATCAAGGGAGACAAGACATTGTAAACCCCCCTCCAGATGTTGAGAAGTGAACTTCACCACCACGTGAGTTATTGTCTGTAATGCTGCCCCATGGTCACTGTAAGGAGAGGAAATCAGGCCAAGCTAACATATAGTTGCAGCAACTCTGGACAAGCTGGAGAATAGTCTGTTGAACCAGGTCCAGGATCTACAATCAAGTGAAGAAGGAGGTAGGCAGAAGCAGCGAAGGTCTCCTGAGTTTAATTAGTGTGTCAGACTCTCTTTCCCACCAATGCTTCCACTCTATAAGAACACAGTTTTCAGCTCCCTAGCAGTGCGGATCATCCATACATGGTAAAGGGCAAGCAAGTGCTCTCATCCAGGAGTGTGTGAGCTACCGTAGCAAAAGGGTGATGAAAGATCAGCCACAATGTTACACTCCAGTGCCCAGGAGAGGGATTTCTCCCCTGAATACAAGTGACCTTGGTACGGCATGGTGTTTCTCGTTTGAAAATGGAGCATCAGTTAACCGGAAATGTAATAAGTCAGTTTTATCTGTCACAGCTCTCCAGGCAGAGCTAACAGTAATAGTATCTAATCAAAAGTCTGGCAGAACGATGTGTGATACCACATGCAAAGTAAAGGTTAATTCATAATTCAAGCAGCCACTAATAGTATGAGTGGCCACTTGCATTTAGATGGGGAATTGAAACATGAAGAGACTGTGTTAACAAAGGAAGTTTGTGGTACAGGAAGGACTTGAACATAGGTTTCCCAAGTCCCATAGGCCAGTGTCCTCATCACTGGACCATCCTTCCTTGTCACATTAATAAGTGTTGATTAGTGCAAGGTTACTTAATAAAAGTTAACAAACATCCATGGATGAGGTTTGCAGCATTCCATGCATTACTGAAGGCGCACTGGATGATAATGTTTCTGGTGCAGTTGATTCCTAGTAGTCAGTGCATCCTTCCATGCAGAAGGACTGGATAGACTGATGAGGAGGTGATATGGCAGTGTTGCTTACAACTAAAGTGTGTGGGGAGATAGGGTCTCTCATTCCAAAACTAGATCTGGAATTGTTCATTTGATTTAAGAATGCCCAAACTCATGTTCCTTCTGTCTGGTTAAGGGTAATACAGGAAGTACTCAGACCTTTGCTTGTGGAGACAGTCAACAACTCCTTTAACGAGAGCAGAATTTAAAAAAAAAAAAAAAAAAAAAAAGGAAATATTTGTGTTGCCTTTGCCTAAAAAAATTAGCACTTGATGCCAGCAAACTGGCCAAATACAGAGAAGTGGGTAATCTTCCATTTTTGGTTAAGATAACAGAGAAAGTGGAAGTTAAACAACTTTCCCAGAGCCTAAATGGCTGAGAATTCCTTGAGACATATCAGTCAGGCTTCAGACCTGGCTGTAACATGATATCATAGAATCATAGAATCATAGAATATCAGGGTTGGAAGGGACCCCAGAAGGTCATCTAGTCCAACCCCCTGCTCAAAGCAGGACCAATTCCCAGTTAAATCATCCCAGCCAGGGCTTTGTCAAGCCTGACCTTAAAAACTTCTAAGGAAGGAGATTCTACCACCTCCCTAGGTAACGCATTCCAGTGTTTCACTACCCTCTTAGTGAAAAAGTTTTTCCTAATATCCAATCTAAACCTCCCCCACTGCAACTTGAGACCATTACTCCTCGTTCTGTCATCTGCTACCATTGAGAACAGTCTAGAGCCATCCTCTTTGGAACCCCCTTTCAGGTAGTTGAAAGCAGCTATCAAATCCCCCCTCATTCTTCTCTTCTGCAGGCTAAACAATCCCAGCTCCCTCAGCCTCTCCTCATAACTCATATGTTCCAGACCCCTAATCATTTTTGTTGCCCTTCGCTGGACTCTCTCCAATTTATCCACATCCTTCTTGAAGTGTGGGGCCCAAAACTGGACACAGTACTCCAGATGAGGCCTCACCAATGTCGAATAGAGGGGAACGATCACGTCCCTCGATCTGCTCGCTATGCCCCTACTTATACATCCCAAAATGCCATTGGCCTTCTTGGCAACAAGGGCACACTGCTGACTCATATCCAGCTTCTCGTCCACTGTCACCCCTAGGTCCTTTTCCGCAGAACTGCTGCCTAGCCATTCGGTCCCTAGTCTGTAGCTGTGCATTGGGTTCTTCCGTCCTAAGTGCAGGACCCTGCACTTATCCTTATTGAACCTCATCAGATTTCTTTTGGCCCAATCCTCCAATTTGTCTAGGTCTTTCTGTATCCTATCCCTCCCCTCCAGCGTATCTACCACTCCTCCCAGTTTAGTATCATCCGCAAATTTGCTGAGAGTGCAATCCACACCATCCTCCAGATCATCTATGAAGATATTGAACAAAACCGGCCCCAGGACCGACCCCTGAGGCACTCCACTTGACACCGGCTGCCAACTAGACATAGAGCCATTGATCACTACCCGTT